ACCTGACCAATAAATCAATGCAACCTTGTAGACTTTGTTAATGTTGAACAGATGAATGCTTCCAGGATCACCCCCTTCATAGATCGTGTGTGTCATTAATTAGGTTGCAGTTTGGTATCTCATGGTGCTCATTGAAATCTATATTTTATATATAATATAAAAATTCTAACAAGTTCTGTTAACATGAACTGTACTGTTTATATATATATATGAAGAGGTGGTTAAATACTTCTTTTACCAATTATTTGCAGCAGAACAACATTGAATGAGTTACATTCGTGATTCCTCGTTTATATTTGAATCTAATAATGTTTGAATATGAATTAATTGGTACATACTATACATATAATGTCAAAACTTGGGAGTAACTGCTCGGAAATAGGGGAAGAGAACGGGTGGATAAAAATAACAAAAAGATACTGCATCTTCGCTCAAAATTCTAAAGCTAAAGTTTATAGTTTTTCTCTTTTGTTGTGTATTAGTTTTTTTTTTTGGATATCATTGTATATTAGTTTTTAAGCTTAATGAGAGACTTGTTATATTAGCTTGGGCCTACTCACACTTGACGCCCTGAAATAGTTTGACTCCAGAGAGAGCTTTTTCGGTTTCTCCTATATGCATGTAACATTATGATCAGACGAGCCAAGAGAATGGGATTCAATCAAAGTATAGCCACAGGAAATAAATGACCCTCACCATGACCAAGTGTTCTGAGCAAGAACTTGCATGGCTATTGCATTCCTAAAAAGAAAAGACAGAAGTTAGAAAAGGGGCGGGGAGGAGCATTATCCGTTAGATTTTTTCCCCTCAAAGCCAGATATCCGTTTGGAGGTTTGATCGAGTGGGTTGGGAGTCAAAAAGAGACACAAAAATAAATAGTACGTGGCTGGAAATTAAAGCTTGTAGCTTTTGTTCCAATATTACATATATAGGACAATCATGTATTCATCTCATCATTTGCTTTCACTTGTAATCTCGAAATATCACCATCGTTTGTTGTCCACAGCCACCCACCACATGCTTCGTGCTCCCTCTATTTTAAAATATATATTTTTTAGGGAAAATTTTGTGTTTTATTTTGTATGTCTTTTTAAAAGTTCAAAGTAGTATTTAATATTTTTCGTAATGTAGTCTTATTTACTCCAACAAGTTCAAAAATCTTTATTAAGCTTAGAGACAAATTCGACAATATAGTCAATATTTCTGTGTATTGATTATATTTTTTAATACGTGAATAGAAATTTTAAAAGATCTGTAGAGGGAGAGTGTATGTAGATTTCAGCTTACCCTATTTAGTTCCAACTAGTCCTTTCTATATGCATGATTGGTCAAAAAAAAAAAAAAGTCTTGCGAGGACCTAATGTGGGGTGTCCCAAATTACCACAATACTCCCATGCTCTGATGACCTAAAAAAAAAATTATTATTAAAATTAAAAATTTTGGTATGTAATAATTTTGGTATGTAATTATTATTAAAATTAGAAATGTTCTCATTAGACTTTAATATATCAGATTTTCTTTTCATTCTTTTTAATTTTTGTTTGGCAATTTAATATTTTCATAATTCTTTAATTATATTACTATTATTGTAAAGATCTAAAATTTTAAGTAAAAATTTAAAATTTATAATGAAGGATTTTAAATATTTTGTTTTGTTTTTATTTTGTTTTGAACCAAATATAGTGAGAAAAGCATACACGCTTAGTGAAAACTTTATCATTTGATGCTTGGCTCGAATTCTGAAACTGAAAAGTAGGAAATTTATTTTCACTTCAGCCTATAGTAAAATTCCTAGTTTGCCCTTAAAATATATATATATATATATATATCTCTAAATACAAAAACAATGAATGGGAAACGGAGCTCAAAGTAAAATCCGCACCATCAGATTTTATTCATCATCTTTTCCATCTACATTTTGGAACCTTCGAGAGCTCGCGAGACTACCTTCCTCTTCCTTCATCCTTTCGATCTCTGGCCATTGAAGGTGCGCCTGGATTTTTTTTTTCCTCTACTGGTGCGCTGCCATGGGAGCACTGCTGTGAGTTTTCCTTCCTTTGTGCTGTCGGTTTCCATCTCCTCCTTCCCTCATTCACTGTCGTCCTCTCCTTTCCTTCCTCGTTCCTAGTTGGCTGTTGGCATGGAGTTCAAGCTGCCATGAGTTTGACGTCACAAGGAGATCAATTAAGGTGCTGGTTTGTTGGGCTTGCTCTTCCTTCCTCTCCCCTGTTTTACGTTGCCAACTTCTCGCTGATGCTAGCTGTGATTCAGTCAGTCAACCTTTCGTTCTTCTGTGTAGTTGGTCGTTGTTCTTTCTTCTTGCTTTGGTTGCAACAGACCCTCCCTTGTTCAGCTCGCACGGCCAACCTTTTCTCCTTCTTGCTCTTCCTCTGTTTTGTCGTCCTGAGGTGCGGTGGAAAATTCAGTTGAGACAGCAAGAGGGAGCTCGTCCAGAAGCTTCGAACCGAATGTTCCTCTTCCATTTCTAGTTGCCAGTGTGGTGTATGTGTCCGTCGTAATATAGATGCGGGAGGATCATCATCTTCTTCCTTCTCCTTGTTCGTCCAGCTAGCATCTCGCTTCCCTGTTCTTTCTCTGCTCTCGTCATTGCTGTTTGAGGAATTTTAGGACAGAGCATTGGCCTACAGGAGTAGTTTAAAAATAAATTATACACTTAAAAACTTTACAGATAAAGGTATAATATCTCAACTAATTTATAATTAATTTTTATTAAAAAATATTTTTATTTGAATTATTTAATAACAATTATATTATATATTTTATATGATTTTAATTAAATTATTTTTATCCTAAAAAATTATAAAAGGATGTGGGAAAATATTTAAATTATGACATGTATTTATTTTTTCTTATAAAGGATACTTTTAAGATTGATGAAATTATTTTTATCAGCTTTGGTAATTTTGGTTCCTCAATAAATGTAAGTATGGGTATCATTTATGAAGTTTTATTCTGGTAAGTTTTTAATATTCAAAATTCTTCATACAAGTTTGATTTTGATAATGGAAACTGCATTTTAACAATGTGACTTTCTCGTATGTTTGAAAATGAATTTAGAGAAGATTTTATACAGAACACTAGTTGCTAACAGCAGTTTCGTTAGTCTTTAGCATGCCATGATACACCCAACTAGCAGGGTGCTTATAGGAGGTGCTAGCCCCGTGCGATGGCCAACGCACGTGGAACGGAAGAATGGTTATTTGTGAGCATCGTACTCACTTTTGTTTCATGGCTTCAAGCCACGTTTGGTTAGCATTATCCTCGTGAATTGTGTAGTCACATTTATTTCATAGCTTCGACTGCATTTGGTTACTTACTCTCGTAGAATGTGCATTTATGTTTGTCTTTGTGACATAAGCCGCGTTTGGTTATTTATCCTCATGAACTGTGTATCCATATTTGTGAATTGTTTTGAATTTTTAATTAATTAATGATTTCACACTTTAATAGTTTTTTAGCAAATGTTGTTATTTTATTTATGCATTTATTTAATTATTTTGAATTATCAAGATCAAATTTTAAAGCTGTCTTATTATTATAGATTTTAAGTTTTTTGATATTGAAGTTATATAGAACTTTTATTTTAAGCATACAAATTTGATTTCATTGAATTGCTTTCTCTTTAATTTATGTATATGTTGTATTTTATTCATTTTGAATCTACAAAATGTTATGGTTGGGACGTTAATCACTGAAAAATATTTTTGGTCTCAGATAGCATAGCTGACCCTGTATCTCCATTAGATTCTTGGAGGAATTTTGCTTATAGACTTAAGTTGAGACGCCATTTTGGATAATTTCTATTTTAATGTAAATTTATAATTTATATATTATATTTTTATACATAATGTTTTAGGTGCTTCACATAGTTTACAGTTAGAGTCTTGATTTTATATTGTGCTGGTTGATTGTTACTGAGGAGCGAAGCTCCCTTTTATTGAGTTGATGTTATAAATTGTGAAAAAAAAATGTTACAATGATTTTATATCCTATTTTAAATGAATTAAAATATTATATTAAAGTTTCTTTAATCAAGATTTAAGGGATATATGTTTGTGCATATATCTCGTGCCGATCACATCAAATTTTTCAAGGCGTGACACATGCTTTCTTTTTTACATTCTAAGTCAAAACGTTGACTAAGTGATGATCGTTGAGAAACATGTCTCATATAAATTGACTATATTTTTCTTGCTAAATTAGCATGAATATGTTGGAGCAGAACTGAATGACACTACGTACAGGCTAGTCTCCCACTCAAAATTAAAATCTACGGTGATTCGGCCGAATTGGAGTTAAAAATTAAAATAGTTCATCAATATAAAATGTACCATCCACGTACAATCTATGCTCAGATTCTGGAAAATACGAAAAAAAAATTACTTTTCGACTGGCCCAATTTTTTCACTAAAAAAATTAGTTATATCTATGTAACTTTGCCATAAGGGAAATTAACAATTAAACTACGAGCATTTGTAAGTTATACCTAAATTTAGAAATATGAAAATTTATAAGTGTTTATTCAATTAGTTAACACTGGAGATTCTTAAAAATAAAATAGTTTTTTTAACTTGGTCTGCGTGAAATTTTTTTCCTTCAATTAAGTGATGGCAAGTTAATTTAAAATATTAGACTTTAAAATCGCTCAGTATATCTACAGTACACTCATTTTAAAAAGTAGCACAAGTATTTTACTTATATTGGTAACATTTTTTGTGATCAGAGGGACTCGCCTTTCTCGAAAAGGAAAGATATCCAAGATGATGCAATCCACTACTTTGGTTTCGAGGTTTGTGTTGGTGGACAGTGGCGAACTCCTGCAGGACTGCTGAGTTTCTTCTCCTTTTGATATCTCTCGTAAACAACTTGCTCATCAAAACCAGCCAATGAAAAGATTGCGAACCTACTCTTGAGCCGCTCATCCCAAGAAATTCAATTTTGATTGCGTATTATACACAGACGAATCAAACGGAGCAATATTAAAAGAATGGAAAGAATGGGCATTAATCTGATTATCTGGTACACGTTAACCTGAGCGAAAAGAGAATATAAAAAATATGGTGGACACAAGTTTGTCTCTCGGAGAGGTTAGTTAACCTACGAGATACTTCATCAGTAATGACAATCCACCAAAGGAGACGCCGAGAAGACAAGGACGGAGTCTTTGGAGTGAAAAGGAAACTTGGATTCCGAGTGATCATGATCCTCATCAGGAGCCGGAAGATTCAAGTCCAGCTTGAAGACGTTTCTGGGTTTCTTGACGTCCTGGGATGACTCGTTCACCAAAGTTCTGTGCCTTCTCATGTGACCCCCCAAGGCTTGCCCGGAAGAGAAGTCAGCCCCGCAAATGGAACACTCGTGAACTTTGGACGATTTACCGCTACACAAAGAAACCCTGTTGGATAATTTCAAGGAGAGAGCAGTGGTGGTGCAGTACTCATCGCACCCACCATCTTGATTATTTTCTTCTGGGCTGGGCTTCATCTTCTTGTGTCTGGCTCTGTGTCCGCCAAGCGCTCGGAACGAAGGGAAGCCTCGGTCGCAAGTCCTGCACTGGTAAAGGTATGCCCCATCCTTAGGTACGGCCACGGGATGTGAGAATTTCCCTTGAGCCAAAAGAATCAAGCAATTGGCCATGTCCTCCTCTTCCTCCGTCGGCGACGTTGTCGTCGTGGACTGCGTGTTATCTCTCAACTCAGATGACGACGTGTTCGGGACGTCAGACCCACCGGAACAGACCTCACTGCTGCTGTCCGTTGCAGAAGGCAAGCCTATGGCTAGCCTGATCGGGGACGGTGTCCTTTGACGCTTGGTGAGCTTGCCCTTCATGATCTGTGCCCGATCCCTGCACGCCACCACAACTTGCTCCTGAATGATATCCTCCATGATCAATGAAGAGAGATAGAGAGAGATGGAAGACTGTGCGGAGGTAATGAATGTATATGAACAGAGATATATAAAAGGATCTATATGGGTGGCGTGAGAAGGATTATTAGAAGCAGAGAAAAGGGCAAGAGGGTGGAGGGATTGAATTTGCCAGAGCTGAGTGCCCAACCTGAGGAGGATATATATAGGAATATTATTAGTAATTAATTGAGGAATGGTGTGTGAGGAAGGAGAGAGAAGAGAAGGAAGATGCAAGAGGGGCAAGAAGCATGAGGAGGGCGAGGAAAGGAGTGAGATTCGGTTGGCTTTGAAGCAAACCCGTTGCTTTTTCTCAACGATTCCTTTCTGGAGGATTGCAGCGCAAGCCTGGAACCACACAATTTTTTTTTCCCACAATATTTGCCTTTCACCTAATTCCCTTATTATGTGTCTTTCTCCTCTCTCTCGTCATTCGTTTTTATTTCCTATTCCACCCCCTACCTCTCTTTCATCCTCTTCTATAATGCTAGCCTTTCAATTTAACATCCATAATAATCCATTATCCAGTTCCCTCCACAGATATTCATTTTTCCACAAGATTGTGGCTTCTCTCCCAAGACACCGTCTTGCAATAATGTTGATTATTAATTTTGTTTATATATATATGTATGCCATGAGACATGCATTATTGATTTGAGATGGTGGAATGATACACGACGCACGCAAACACACTTGATGGGGGAATGATCATGCATGCGGAGCTGATCCAACCACTGCTTATATTTTATGGTCAGTGCCTCGGTAGTGGCAATATATCACCCAATAATCACGCTGCTACTTGAACCAACCAGTGATCCATTCCATTAATATATCTCATAGTCTTGCCCCAAATGATTTGGCGTCCGTTAAAAGTATGGTCTAGCTTGGATTATATTGGACTGCAACTTCTACTCATAGTCAGCCACTCCCAAGTTAGTGCTAATTACTTCATTGATTTGTAATTTCCAAACTCCCATGTGACTTTGCATTTGTTAGAATTTGCATAAAAGAAGGAATGAATAAAATAGAAGGCACCCCAGCGTGGAAGTAGTGGGTCCCCCGAGACCGGAGTTATGTTCAGGGTGTGTTTGTGTGGAAGTTAATATGTTAGAGGAGGACAGATTCTGGGCGTGAGGAATGGTGGCGAAACCTGAACGGGCCTGTGAGGGGCACTTAATGGCGTTGGTAATGGTACGCCGCTGTTATGATTCAGCGCCGCTTCTTTGGGTTGAACATCTAGTGGGTTATAATTAAGCAAAGCATATCTAATTAATTCAACACGTCTATCTATACATACGTAGAAGCTTGTACTCAATCTTGTGATTGATTTGTATAGTTATTGTGGAATATTTGATCGCTTTGTTCATCACGGGTCTATGATCCATCGCCCACACTACCTCTCCACCTTCCCATGTCTCCGAATAAATTAAGCATCGGTCAATCAATGGTGCTCCCATTTGACAAGACGCAAAGCATGCAGCACCTTGCTCCCAGGAAATAAATGACAGATTATGTTACTCACCCAAAAATATCACTGTTTTTTCTTTTTGACAGCAACTGCCACTTCACTGGTTTCAACTTTAGAACATGAAAAGTGTGTGTGTGTTAATTTGAAGCTTTTTAATGCTGTTTCTTTAACCACTATCATTCACGACGCTCTCCATTGCGATTACACCTCTTGATTGATATTTTTTAAGGAAAAAAAAACTTTGGAAGTTGTCATATATGATACATGCGTTTGTGACTTCGTGTTGATCCATATGTAAATTTGTAGTTAATATGGTTTCCAGAACGTGTGGCACATATCTTATAATAGTAAGCCGGGCAAAAAGATAAAAATAAAGGAAGGATATATATTTAAAGAGAACTTGTAGAAAGAATTTTACCAAGCCCGAAATCAAGGATAGTGAAGCACTATCAAGAGTGAAGTAAGTGACATAAATTAAAAGATTCTCAGATAAATCAAGAGCTTCTCTTCGGATTTTTACTTGCAAAGTGATTGAGGTGCTTATTGTCATAAGGTACTCTTTTTTCAAAAAGCTAATTTAGTGAGATGTGTAGTGTATTTATTTATATAGTTAAGATCCTTTTAAAATCCTTTTGATATAAGATGTAATAACATTTTTAGCTAATTCGTAATGTCTATGTTACAGGTGGCTCACTAATTAAGTGAATTTGAATTTAGCTCTGATATTATTTTAATATAAAACTATCACTCTCTCCTAATAAAACTAGTTCAATAAAACGTGTAACACACCTATTTATATCATTAGGATCATTCCAAACTCCTCTCAATGTGATATGTAACATTATGCTTAGGGTATTTTCTTTTTCATATGAAAAAAAATTGATGATATATTGAGCAGCAGCAGTTGTTAACAAGAATGTGATGGATTGTGACGTTTACACCTTTTGACGCTCTCATAATTTCAAAGATCATGTCATTTCATTGGTACTGGGAAATTAGTGATACAAGAATAAATCATACCTTTCAGACCATAAGTGCTTTTTAGAAGCACCTTTTGTTTCAAAATATATAATATTAAGTAAATTTTATATTTTTTTAATTATATCCTTACTTTTATAATTTCTTGTATTTTATATTTAAAGATCGTATTATTAAAAACTCTTAAAAGATATAAATTAAAAAGTATAAATATTTTTTAAAAAATTAAAATTTTAACTAAAACTTTTAATAAATTATGAATTAATTAATAATGTATCACACTCCTTCCAGCCTTATTTATAACATTATATCCATGGGTTCTTGATTTCTACAAAATTTAATGAAAAATTGATTACTTGTTTTCAGAAATGCCTTTTGTCTTTTGTAAAGACAACAAGCTATAAGACTTTATTCACAAAGTCGATGGAGGAAATTTTGGAAAGTTGTTAACAACTTTCATATTTAAATAATTTTAATTAATATTCTTAACTTTAGAAAAATAGTTAACACTTAACAGGACCCTGTCGAAGGGGGTATTATATGATATTTTGTTTTTTTTTAGTCTATGTGCTTATTTGATTGCAAAGATCAAATAGTGATTGTAAAAAAGGTTCAAGTTGCTTATAAAGGATGCTGCTTTAACTTTTGCTTCAGCCTTCAGGATCTAGATCTTCTTCCTTCCCTCATATGTGAATATATGAGCATATATACCATATGAAGTATGGGTGCACAACAATGGAAGAATATCACATGAATTTGAATGAGAAATCCAAAGCAATGACCCACATGCTACTTTTGCGATCGTCAATACCCAATACCGAGCTTAATAAAAAAATATCAACCCTAGCGTAGTACCCTTCTCTGTCTTGTCTTTTTTTTTTTTTTGGTTTTTTGTTTTGACCGGGGGGGGGTGTGGGGTAAATTGTACTCTTCCCTATAAACTCAAGGGGTGATGAAATGGAAACGATATTGGGCCTTTTTTGGGCTTTAAATGTACAAAAGACAGTGACGTTGATCAGCGGTTACTAAGTCAAATGAGCCCGAACTGAACCGAAAGCCATGATCTGTAGCGAGGAAAGGCCTAGTGGGCTAACTTTTCTTGCTTATAGGCATTTTGTATTTTGCTTTTTTGCCAACAGGCATCAATTGAGGGAGGCCCAAGACCGCTGAAAAGCTGGTAGTTACAAGTAAAGGTGTTTAGGGTTATACCCATTCTAGTTAACTCGTACCTGTCTCGATCATGTTAAGATAGATTTGTCCCTTCCAAAAAAAAAAATAGAGACGAGACACTTGTGGAATGAGACTAGGCTCAGGATACCCTCTGGGACATGCCATCTCATCCCTTCTTGATATTATGTATACATACATACATACATATACATATATATATACATATTTTTTTGTCCTTATTATATGGTATTTTCAACTATTTCACACATATTAAAAAAAGTTAATTTTTTTGTTGATGTAATAAAAAATGAAGATGTACTTTCATTTTTACTCATGGCTTTAAATAATAATATCACTACATTAAATACCATCATGCTAATTAAGAAGGGGTAAAATTAAAAAAAAGATTGTTTTATTATTATAAAGTGTCCTATATTTTGGACTAAAAATTATTTTTAGAAGGCGTCTTATAAATAAAATTGGGGAGAATATATATATATATATATATTATTTTATTATATATGTTAATTATTATGTTATTTTTATTGTTTTATTTGTTTATATTTTTTTATTTAATTTAATTTTGAATTGCTTTATGATACTCGATACAGCCAAGCAAGCTATGAGATATTTTCTCATAATTATTTATATTAATTTAAGGAACTAAAAATGCAAATCTTGATTATTGCCATTTAAGTAATTTAATGAGTTTATTTTTCAAGTGCATGCCAGGATTGGTTGTTGTTCCTTATTATAATATGAGTTTACAGTGAATTCTAACCAAATAGCTTGCATGTGCACAAGGACTCTTGTATTGGGATGTCTTGTGTCCTCACCTATCTATTTATGTGTTAAAACTCAATTGATTAGGTATATACATAGAGTATGATTCTTTGTACATATTGATTATAACATCCCAATTTAAATTTTAATAGTTAATTTAAATTAATAAAAATTTTGAAAAATATTTAGAGGTAAGTAAATTAGTATAAAATAATTATTAAATCTAATTTAGGATATAATAAAAAAATTATTATTAATTAATTAAAATAAATAAATAAATAAATATTATTAAATTACTATTATTATTATAAAAAGAAAGAAAGAGAAAAGGTATGAGAAAGAGGAAGGAAGGAAAGAAGAAAATGCAATCGGCTTTCGGTGCAATCATTGTATAAAATAATAAAAAAAAAAGAAGAAGAGAGAGGAAAGAAAAAATAATAAAAAAATATGGGACCCACTGAATTTTTTTTATAAAAACCCACCTCATTCCTTCTTTCTTCACTTCTTCGTTTCTTCATTTTTCCTGTGCGCAAGTTGAGGTAGAGAGAGCGTCTAGTTTTACTGGCGTTGGGTTTTAAGGTAAGAATTTTTAATAGGATATTTAGGGTGTGATTTTAAGCTTTTTAAGACTAAGTAAATGTTCTAAAAAAATTTTCTTAGTCATCCTTCCTTTTTAATTTCTGATTTTGTGGTGGTAGAAAATTTAAGATCTGGAAGAGGGATAAATTTATATTGAATAAATATGATTTTTGAGGTTGTCAGTAGTATAATAAATGTTCTAGAGTATAAATTTGTTGATGATCTTTGAATTTGTGGCTTATGAATTAAATTCTAAACTAGATCTGAAAATATATGTTGATTTATTGAGGT